GAATTCACCCCAAAACGGGCTGGAATTGCTTTACTTGGGGGGGATTCCTTCTCCATGGATGCGGCTGGCTCTGGAATGCCGCTGCAGAGCGGCAGGAGGCAGTGGTGCATGTGGGGCTTATCATTATTAATAATAATAGCTAATTAATAACTGATTATTAATTAATAAATAACCCCAAAACGTTAATAGAAACGGAGATCTTAATGGAATAAGTGGGAAACACACGTGAAACGGGCTGCCGGGGCAGTAACCCCCCCCTTCCCCATGCAGAGCATTGGAAGCAAGAATTCCACTTGCTTTTCCTTAAGGATAAGCGGCCACCGCAGGGATCAATGGAGCAGCTCCAGCCTGGCCCTTGCTGGGACACTCGCTGCTTGGTTTTCCTTAGGAGATTATTCATTCCAGGAAGCTGGAACAGAAGGGATTTGGCTCCTGGTGACTTTTTTTCCAAGCCCATTGCCTCCCTTTCCGTGCTCTGAACCCGCAGCATCCCCATGGACAAGGATGGAGCCTCCGTTTGGATCGATCCTGCTCAGCCCCCCCCCCCCCACACCTCTTCCCAAACTGCATTTATTTCTCAAGGGCATGGTAGAGAAACAGGGGCAGGAAAAGGGGGAAGTAAGGAAATAAAGCAGGAAGAGGAAGGTGGAACTCAAACAATGGCTTTGGTTTGGTAAGGAATGGGTGGGCCACAGGGATCTCGACCCCTCCAGGAGCCAGTATTTAAGGTGACGGGCATTAAATGAGCTCCATTAACTGTAATCCAAGGTATTCTCCCTGGAATGCTGTCTGGAAACCTACCCCATCCCCACATCCGTCCTCGAACACAGCAAAGCCCAGCCCCGGTGTTTCCAGGATGGCACCAGCACCTTCCTATGGAGATCAGAGGCTTCCTATGGATAACACCGGGAGGAAAAGCTGGAAGCCACCCCCCCCAACAGCTCTGCAGGGGGAGGAGGAGGAGGAGGAGGAAGCAGCAGTTGTGGAAGGAGGTGACGGAAGCGAGATTCCCCTTGGCAGGAGCTGCATCCTCACCCGCCTCCGAAGCACACGGTGCGAAGCCGAACGCCTCCGAGGCATCCCCCTGGAGCCTTGGATCCTCCTCTTGCCTTTTCCAGCCTTCCCAGTGGGAATTGCGCTGCTCCGAGCTCAAAGGTGCAGCAAGGGGGATCCCGGGATCTTCGTTATCCCGAGAAAGAGAAGCTTCCAGGATTAACCCGGGGTGTTCACCTGCAGGAGAAGGGGTGGGGGGGGGCTGCTTGGGAATACAATGCCAGGATGAGGACTTTGTGTTTCCATGGAGCGCTGTGGAATGATCCCACCTCGGTATTCCCAAGGTTTGGAGTCGGGAGCAGTCTTCACATTGGTGTTGAAACCTCCTTTCCCAGGGGGGAAATGTCTCCTGTACAGAGTTTATAAGGCAGGACATAGGGTGAGCACATTCTCCATCCCTCAGCCATCCTGCAGGGCAGCTCCTGGAATGGCAGCAGGAATGGCATGGAATTTCCTCATTCCAGGAAAGAGGATCCCTGCTCCTGAGGACGATGAACCACTGCGGATGGGCTCAACTATGAATGGAGAGAAGCACACAGTGAACCAGGACGTGGTGTTCCCAACCCATTCCCAAGCCTCCAACCTCTCCCCAGGGCAGCAGGAACGAAGGCAGAGCCGCAGGGAATGTCGGGACCGTCCCTTTTATCTCCATAATACCTGGAATTCTTGGGAATACCAGGTGAACACCTGGGAAATCCAAGTGGTTTACGAACAACACAACGCTGACACCACAGTTTCCTCGGCACAATAAAACAGTGAGGGGGGGGGGGAATAGCACAGCCAGGTGGGAGGCAGAGATTGGAAGCCCAGGGCAGAATTCCTGAGGTTTCCAAAGGGCCAAACCCCCTCGCTGTTCAATCCAATGGGATGAGGAGAGGTTGCACAAAGGAAGAGCACACAAGCCCTTAAGTGCCTAAACCTCAAGGTTTGCTTAAAAACCCCTCAATTCCCCCCAAAATCACATTAAAGGGAAAGGCTTCCACTGCCTGGTGGGATGAGAACTTGGAATATGTGCTATGGAATTCACAGGTACAGGTATGGTTTATCCCCCCCCCCCCAATACACCAGCTCTTTCCCACATCATTTCCCCCTCCCCTCCAGAGTTTAATCCCCATCTTCCTCCTCCTCTTGTGCTGCAGCAGCTTCCTCGCTTCCCTCCTCATCTTCTGCTCTCTGGTGCTCTCCTTCCTCAGGGAGGGATTCCTCTGGAGGCAGGGAATTCTGCTCCTCCACATTCCCTGCTTGTGCTTGTGCCTCAGCTGTCTCTGTCCCTGTTTCTTCTTGCTCCCCCACATCCCCAGCACGTTTTGCTTCCAGGTCCCCTTTGGCATCCTGGTTTTCCTCCTCTGGATTCTCCTCTTCCAGGTTTTCCTCCTCATCCTTGTTTTCATCTCCTCCTTCTGCTGCTCCTTCCTCCACGTTCCCACTGGCTCCCCCTTCTCCTTCCTCAGGCTCCTCTTTCTCCTCTGGGTCATCTGTGAAAGGATTCTCTCCCTGGAAAGAGAAGGCAAATCCTCATCTCCAAAACCCCCCTTCAAGAGCAGCTCCCAGGAAATTCCAGCCTCATGGAAGTGCTGCTTCCAGCCTGACCCCCATCCCAAGCCCCCCCCCAAAACCAACCAACCCACCCCTACCTTGAGGTACCGCTCCAGCTTCTTACTGATGAGCTTGTTGTTGAGAATACTCCTTGCAACCACGAGCGAGGATTTCTTGGATTGCTCCATCATGGCCTGGATGGGAGGGGAATAAAACCCACTCAGCTTTGCTCCTGAAGCCAGGAATGAGGCACAGCTCAGCAGCAGAGGAGAGAAACAGGGAAAACCTCTGGGAAACAGCCTGTAAATCATAGGATCAGGGCATGGTTTGGGTTGGAAGGGACCATAAAGCTCTTATACTCCAAGCAATGTCTAAGTTGGCCTTGAACCCTAGGAGGATGCCAGGGCTATAAAGCCATGAGGGATGAACTTGAGCCTCTGCAACAATGAGGATGAAGGAGATTTCCTCCTGGATTTCAGGAAGGGCAGGAACTAAACCCACCCGAACCCATGCTCCTGGGAGCCCCAACTCACCCTGCGGTTGTGGTTGTGGTCGAGGGACTTCAGGTGTTTCTGGAGGACGCCGTACTGCATGGGGATGAAGAGGTCGCAGGCAGCACAGTGGGCGGCCTCCACCTTCTTGATGAAATGCTCCATGCCCACGTCTGCAAACGAAGGGTTTTAACTGGAAAACAATCCAGGGAGCGGGGCCCCCTTCCAGGCTTTACAACGGCTCCGATCCCAACCACCTCCTCCCTTCCAATCCCAATCCCTCCTTATCCATGCAGCCTCCTCCCTCCCTACCCCTACAACCTCCTCCCTTCCTCCCCTCACCTTTTCCCTTCCTACCCCTACAGCCTCCTCCCTCCCTCCCCTTAAGTTTTCCCTTCCTACCCCTACATCTCCTCCCTCCCTACCCCTACATCTCCTCCCTCCCTCCCCTTAAGTTTTCCCTTCCTACCCCTACCTTTTCCCTCCCTACCCCTACAACCTCCTCCCTCCCTACCCCTGCAGCCTCCTCCCTCCCTCCCCTACAACCTCCTTCCCTTCCTACCCCTACAGCCTCCTCCCTCCCTCCCCTTAAGTTTTCCCTTCCTACCCCTACATCTCCTCCCTCCCTACCCCTACAACCTCCTCCCTCCCTACCCCTGCAGCCTCCTCCCTCCCTACCCCTACATCCTCCCTCCCTACCCCTACCCCTACATCCCTACCCCCCCCCCTTCCTACCCCTGCAGCCTCCTCCCTCCCTACCCCTACAGCCTCCTCCCTCCCTACCCCTACAACTCCTCCCTCCCTACCCCTACAACCTCCTCCCTCCCTACCCCTACATCTCCTCCCTCCCTACCCCTGCAGCCTCCTCCCTTCCTACCCCTACAACCTCCTCTCTTCCTCCCCTCACCTTTTCCCTTCCTACCCCTACATCTCCTCCCTTCCTACCCCTACAGCCTCCTCCCTCCCTCTCCTTACCTTTTCCCTCCCTACCCCTACAACCTCCTCCCTCCCTCCCCTCACCTTTTCCCTTCCTACAACCTCCTCCCTCCCTACCCCTACATCTCCCCCCTTGCTACCCCTGCAGCCTCCTCCCTCCCTACCCCTACAACCTCCTCCCTTCCTCCCATCACTTTTTCCCTTCCTACCCCTACAGCCTCCTCCCTCCCTCCCCTTACCTTTTCCCTCCCTACCCCTACACCCTACTCCCTACCTACCTCCCTCCCTACCCCTACAACCTCCTCCCTCCCTACCCCTACATCTCCCCCCTTGCTACCCCTGCAGCCTCCTCCCTCCCTACCCCTGCAGCCTCCTCCCTCCCTACCCCTACAACCTCCTCCCTTCCTCCCATCACTTTTTCCCTTCCTACCCCTACAGCCTCCTCCCTCCCTACCCCTACAGCCTCCTCCCTCCCTCCCCTTACCTTTTCCCTCCCTACCCCTACATCTCCCCCCTTCCTACCCCTACAACCTCCTCCCTCCCTCCCCTCACCTTTTCCCTTCCTACCCCTACATCTCCTCCCTCCCTTCCCCTGCAGCCTCCTCCCTCCCTACCCCTGCAGCCTCCTCCTTCCCTCCCCTTACCTTTTCCCTCCCTACCCCTACAACCTCCTCCCTCCCTACCCCTACATCTCCCCCCTTCCTACCCCTACATCTCCTCCCTCCCTACCCCTACAACCTCCTCCCTTCCTCCCATCACTTTTTCCCTCCCTACCCCTACAACTCCTCCCTCCCTACCCCTACAACCTCCTCCCTCCCTACCCCTACATCTCCCCCCTCCCTACCCCTACATCTCCCCCCTCCCTACCCCTACATCTCCCCCCTCCCTACCCCTACATCTCCTCCCTCCCTACCCCTACATCTCCTCCCTCCCTACCCCTACATCTCCTCCCTCCCTACCCCTGCAGCCTCCTCCCTCCCTACCCCTACAACCTCCTCCCTCCCTACCCCTACATCTCCCCCCTTCCTACCCCTACAACCTCCCCCCTTCCTACCCCTACAACCTCCTCCCTCCCTACCCCTACAACCTCCCCCCTTCCTACCCCTGCAGCCTCCTCCCTCCCTCCCCTCACCTTTTCCCCTTCCTACCCCTACAACCTCCTTTCTCCAACCCCAAACCACCTCAACAAACCACCTCTTACCCACAGGAGCGGGACCTCACCTTGGGTAAGATCCTGCTCCCTGTATATCTGCTGAATGACCGCGTTGATGTCCTCAATGGCTTTACGGCGCTCCTCGGTTTTCCTTGTTTTATTGGCAACGTATTCCTGCAGGGAATGAGGCACCCAAACCCTTGTAAGCTTTACTCCAGCCTCACTCCACCTTCTCCAGCACTTCCCTCCATGCTTACTTAGGGAAGCAGCTGAGGAGCTTGACAGCATCTCCAAGCTAATACGTGATGCTCTTTCCTATTCAGGATCAATTCCCAAAGGAGCCCAAGGCACAGCCATGGATCCCAGAGCTCACCTGGAGGAACTCTGCTGTTTGCTGAGGCAACTTGGTTCCAACAAACTTGAAGTGTTCCTTATGGAATCTGCTCTCCAGGTGACTGCTCATCTCGTCGTCGTAGAAGGTTCGGTATTTGCACAGCGAGCAAACAAACTGGATCCTGTGGAGAGGGGGGGGAAAGAGCCCCACATCCATCATTCCCGTTCGATGGCACCACGTTCCCACTGCATTGACTCCCTCCTTTCTACTTAAAGGGGAGCAGAGAAACTCATGGAAGTCTCCAACCCTTTGCACGTCCTGGGTTGCATCCCCATAGCGTGAGCAGTGGGTCCAAGGAAGGGATCCTGCCCCTGTGCTCTGGTGAGATCCCACTGGGATGCTGCATCCAGCTCTGGTGTCCTCAGTAAGAGGACACGGAGCTGCTGGAGCAAGGGCAGAGGAGGATGAGCAGGGGCTGGAGCAGCTCCCATATGGAAGAACATTGGGGATGGAGATGAGAAGCTGCGTGGAGAGCTCAGAGCAGCTTCCAGTGATGAAAGGGGCTGCAAGAAACCTGGAGAGGGGCTTTGGACACGGGATGGGACGAAAGGAACAGCTTCCAACTGGAAGAGGGAAGACTTGGACGGGATATTGGGATGAAGCTCTTCCCTATGAGGGCGCTGGGCCACTGGGTTGAATGGAGAAGGTTTGGCTGCCCCATCCAAGGGGCAGGTTGGAGCAAGCTGCTCCATGGAAGGTCCCCCTCCCCATGGCGAGGAGGGTTGGAACTGGAGGAGCTTTAAGGTCCCCTTCCAACCCAACCCATTCCATGACTCCCTGATGCAGGACTCCATGGCTCCAACTTCCTTGCGCATCCTCCGCCTTGCGTGTCCCTGCCCATGGCTTGGGGCTGGAGGAGCTTTAAGCTCCTTCCCAACCCAAGGAACAGCCAAAACCCTTGGGACAACCGGGAGCCAGAGGAACGGAGCCTGGCTGCCGGCAGTGCCGCCGCCATCCCAGAATAATCCAGCCGGGAGCCATTACCTTTCCACCATGCGATCCCGGTGCCTCTTCTTCTGCCTCTCGGGGGTCCTCTTGCCCGCCTGCAAGCGGTGCTTGATCTGGCTGATCTCCTCCTGCATTGTGAGGGCACCTGAAAGGAGGAGGGGGGGGAGAGCAGGAACAGAGCTCAGGGCCCCACCTCGCCCAAGGGAATGGCCCTGGGTAAGGTTAGTCAGGGGGAGGACTGAGCCCCACACAACCAAGGAGACCCTAAGGGGAGATGGGGCATCCTTAATGGGAGATAGGGCACCCCTAAGGGGAGATGGGGGTCCCTAAGGGGAGATAGGGCATCCTTAATGGGAGATAGGGCACCCCTAAGGGGAGATAGGGCATCCTTAAGGGGAGATAGGGGTCCCTAAGGGGAGATAGGGCATCCTTAATGGGAGATAGGGCGTCCCTAAGGGGAGATAGGGCGTCCCTAAGGGGAGATGGGGCGTCCTTAATGGGAGATAGGGCACCCCTAAGGGGAGATAGGGCATCCTTAATGGGAGATGGGGCGTCCCTAAGGGGAGATAGGGCATCCTTAATGGGAGATAGGGGTCCCTAAGGGGAGATAGGGCATCCTTAATGGGAGATAGGGCACCCCTAAGGGGAGATAGGGCACCCCTAAGGGGAGATGGGGCATCCTTAATGGGAGATAGGGGTCCCTAAGGGGAGATAGGGCATCCTTAATGGGAGATAGGGCACCCCTAAGGGGAGATAGGGCATCCTTAATGGGAGATAGGGCACCCCTAAGGGGAGATAGGGCACCCCTAAGGGGAGATAGGGCACCCCTAAGGGGAGATGGGGCATCCCTAAGGGGAGATAGGGCATCCTTAAGGGGAGATGGGGCATCCCTAAGGGGAGATGGGGCGTCCTTAAGGGGAGATAGGGCACCCCTAAGGGGAGATAGGGCATCCTTAAGGGGAGATAGGGCACCCCTAAGGGGAGATAGGGCATCCTTAATGGGAGATAGGGGTCCCTAAGGGGAGATGGGGCGTCCCTAAGGGGAGATGGGGCGTCCCTAAGGGGAGATGGGGCATCCCTAAGGGGAGATGGGGCACCCCTACGGGGAGATGGGGCACCCCTACGGGGAGATGGGGCGTCCCTAATGAGAGACATAGGGTGTCCCTAACGAGACATAGGGCGTCCCTAATGAGCTAGGGCAACCCTAAGGAGAGATAGAGCATCTCTGACGAGACATGGGGCGTCCCTGACGAGATATAGGGCGTCCCTAAGGAGAGACATAGGGCGTCCCTAATGCACCCCTAATGGGAGATGGGGCACCCCTAATGGGAGATAGGGCATCCCAAATGATAGAGCATCCCTAATGGGAGATAGGGCATCCCTAAGGGGACATAGGGCGTCCCTAAGGAGCCATAGGGCGTCCCTAAGGGGAGATGGGGCACCCCTAATGGGAGATAGGGCATCCCTAAGGAGAGATAGGGCATCCCAAATGATAGAGCATCCCTAATGGGAGATAGGGCATCCCAAATGAGAGACAGGGCCTCCCAAATGGGAGACAGGGCATCCCTAAGGAGACATAGGGCGTCCCTAAGGGGAGACACAGGGCATCCCAAATGAGAGAGCATCCCAAATGAGAGACCATCCCAATGAGAGACAGAGCATCCCAAATGAGAGACCATCCCAGTGAGAGACAGAGCATCCCAAATGAGACACAGGGCATCCCAAATGAGACACAGGGCATCCCAAATGAGACACAGGGCATCCCAAAAGGGGCAGGACAAGGGGTGATGGGTTCAAACTGAAACAGGGAAGTTCAGCTTGGAGATAAGGAAGTTGTTTCCTGGGAGGGTGCTGGGACACTGGGATGGGTTGGATGGAGGTGGTTTGCCTGCCCCATCCCTGGCAGTGTTCAAGGCCAGGTTGGATGGGGCTTGGAGCAAGCTGCTCTAGTGGAAGGTGTCCCTGCCCATGGAACTGGATGAGCTTTAAGGTCCCTTCCACCCAACCCATTCCATGATCCTATAATTAGCTCCACATGGACAAGTTTGGAGGGTGGGAGCAGAGGGAAGAACCACCCGGAAAGATTCCAATGTGGTTTCCCTGGAGCATCCCAGGAATGGGCTGGGCAACAAGAGCCCCCCAAGCATCCCACCAGGAGGTTTCTCCCCAGCCCTCCTGCTTCCCTCAGCTCCCTTCAGATATCCCAACCGATCCCATCACTCCAACCCAGGAAGCTCCATCCCAAACGACTCACCCCAAGTCAAGCCTATGGCACATGGGAAATCCAAGGTGGATCCCTACACCCCAGGCTGGGAGGTCCCCAACCCACTTGGAGCAAGGGCTCCAGCTCCTCCTCAGGAATTCCTTATCCCTGAGCAGGCACAAAGGATGGGATTTGTCTGACTGAATGCAGCTGAATGTGTTCCATGTCCCCATGTCTGACAGCTCTTCCCTGTTCTCCCCCCCTGGAATTGCCCTCTATGGGAAGGAGCTTTGCTTTGGAGCACAGGCACCACCTCACCTTTCTCCATCTCTTTTCCTTCTTCCTCTTCCCCTTCCTAGAAAGGCAAGGTTGGGAAGTGAAAACCCAGAGAAGGGGATGGCTGGAGGCTGCTTTGACACCTCCTCCATCTCCAACCCTCCTGGCATTCCGAGCTCTGCATGGAGGAGCAGCATCTCCATGGTCCCTTCCTGCAGGGACATCACTCGCTCTGCAGGAGAAGCCTCTGCCTGCAGACCTCATCCCAGCACACCAAAGGAGCTGGAGGAGGGGTTACTTCATCCCCATGCAGCCACACGACCTAATCCCACCCTCTGGCATTCTCCAATGGATCTGGGGGTTTTGTTCCCCACCTGCTTTGGGAATTACGTGGGATTTCAGGGATCTGCCCTCACCAGAACTACAGCTTTGAATGCTGAATGAGGTACTCACCCCTCTGGAGCCTTCCTTCTCCTCTTTCTCTCCTGATTCTCCTTCTGTTCCCTCCTCTGGAAGGAACAACAGAGTCAGCACAAAGAGCAGGAATCATGGGAACAACCACATTGGGAAAGCCCTTCAAGCCCATGCAGTCCAACCCTTACCCCAGCACTGCCAAGGCCACCCCTAACCCATGGCACTGAAGGCATCAGCTCCATGGGTTGGGAACACTTCCAACCTGCTCCAATGCCTGAGCATCCTTTGGGGAAGGAATTGTTCCCCATCTCCATCTAAACCTCCCCTGAGGCCATTCCTTCTTGTCCCATCCCTTGGGAGCAGAGCCCAGCCCCATCCTGGCTCCATCCTCCTGTAGGGAGCAATAGGGTCCCCCCCCTGAGCCTTCTCCTCTCCAGATGGACACCAACAGCTTCGGCCCCACATGAAATCCATGGCAACTCCCACATTGGCAAATCCCAGTGCCAGGAAGCTGCTGGGCTCCTACCGTTGCCCGAGTCGGAGTTCTCGGAGCCGTCCGTCTTGGCTGCTCTGCCCTCGGGATCATCGGAGCTGTTCAGGAGCTTCCGCTTCTTCGTGCTGGGATCCTTCCTGAGCTTCTTCTTCTGGGGCTGGGAGAGAAGAGGAAGGAGTAAGAGGGATCCCTTCCACTACACCAGGAGGCTCCAAGCCCTGTGTCCAACCTGAGCTTGAACAGGGATGCTTCATCCAAACCTTCTCCAGCCAACCCATCCCAGTGTCCCACCACCTTCCCAGGGTGGAACTTCCTTATCTCCAAGCTGAACTTCCCTGTTCCATTTGGAACCCATCACCCCTTGTCCTATCCCTGATGAAGCTCCCTCTGCGCATCCTTGGAGTCCCCTTCAGACCCTGGAAGTTGCTCTGAGGTCTCCATGCAGCTTCTCTAACCCCAATGTTCTCAACCCCCCCATCCCATAATGCAGGAAGGGCTGCAACCTTCTTCCTCTCTTCAGGAAACCGGGATTTGGGGATTCAAACACCCCACGTCGAATCAACCCAGCGCAATCTCTGTGTTCCGCTTAGGAGATAGCACCCCACGAAGCCAAACCACATGGAATTAGCACTTCCCAGCGTGTTGGAGGCCACATGGAGCTGTTGGGAATGATGTCCAGGAGGACATGACGCAAACACTTACTTTATAATCCGAATCCCACATTTTCCAGCTCCTCCTCATGCGCTGCTTCAGCATCCCTCCTCCATAGCGCATGCTCCCCTGGAAGCCTCGCATCCCTTGGAACATGCCGAGTTCGGGGATGATGTTATGGGAGAAGAGGGAAGGAAGCCTGGAAGAGCCTTGGGGACCACGGGATCCCATGGCCTGCGGAGCCTCGTTCCATTGCCCGCTCATCCGCCCGGGATACGCCGATGCCAAGGGCCTGTTGCTGCGGTTTTCCCGCCCCCAGTTCTGGCCCCGTTGCCCAAAGTTCTCCCGAGCTCGGGCCTGGAATTGATCCCGGCGATTCCCATAGAAGCTCTCGTAGGGCCCCTCGTAGGAGCCGTCGTTCTCGGCCTCGGCCTCGCCGTACTCATAGCCGGCCCGATAGACGTCGCGCTCGGCCGCGGACGGCCTCGAGTCGTAGGAGTCGTACCTGCGAGAGGCAGCAGGGAGGGATGGGCAACAGGGACCCACCGAAAGCCACCAAAAAGCCATCAAACGCCAAGGAAACCCATTGAAACGCAACCAAACCCGCCAAAAAGTCATCAAAATCCAACAAAACCCACCAAAAAGTCGTCAAACGCCACTAAAACCCACCAGAAAGCCAAAGTCCAACAAAAAGTCGTCAAACGACAACAAAACCCAAGAAAACCCAGCAAAAAGTCATTATAAAGTCAGCAAAAGCCAAGAAAACCCAGCAAAAAGTTATCAAAATCAAACAAAACCTATCAAAACCCAAGAAAAAACACCAAAAAGTCATCAAAATTCAACAAAACCCGCCAAAAAGTCATAAAAAGCCAAGAAAACCCATCAAAAAAAACCAAAACCCACCAAAAAGTCATAAAAATCCAACAAACCCCACCAAAAAGTCGTCAAACGCCACTAAAACCCACCAGAAAGCCAAAGTCCAACAAAAAGTCGTCAAATGACAACAAAACCCAAGAAAACCCAGCAAAAAGTCATTATAAAGTCAGCAAAAGCCAAGAAAACCCATCAAAAAGTCATCAAAATCAAACAAAACCCATCAAAAGCCAAGAAAACCCATCAAAAAGTTATCAAAATCAAACAAAACCTATCAAAACCCAAGAAAAAACACCAAAAAGTCATCAAAATTCAACAAAACCCGCCAAAAAGTCATAAAAATCCAACAAAACCCATCAAAAAAAAAACAAAACCCACCAAAAAGTCATAAAAATCCAACAAACCCCACCAAAAAGTCATCAAACGCCACTAAAACCCACCAGAAAGCCAAAGTCCAAAAAAAGTCGTCAAACGACAACAAAACCCAAGAAAACCCAGCAAAAAGTCATTATGAAGTCAGCAAAAGCCAAGAAAACCCAGCAAAAAGTCATCAAAATCAAACAAAACCCATCAAAAGCCAAGAAAACCCATCAAAAAGTTATCAAAATCAAACAAAACCTATCAAAACCCAAGAAAAAACACCAAAAAGTCATCAAAATTCAACAAAACCCACCAAAAAGTCATAAAAATCCAACAAAACCTATCAAAAAAAAACCAAAACCCACCAAAAAGTCATAAAAATCCAACAAAACTCACCATCATAAAAAGCCAACAAAACCCATCAAAAAACCATAAACCCCACCAAAAAGTCATCACAAATGCAACAAAACTCCCCCAAAAGTCATAAAAAGCCAACAAAACCCATCAAAAAACAACAAAACCCACCAAAAAGTCATCAAAGCCCATCAAAAGCCAACAAACCCCACCAAAAAAGTCATCAAAATCCAACAAAACCATCAAAATGCCCCAAAAACTCCGCAAAAAGTCATCAAAAGTCAGCAGAATCCACCAAACTCCATCAAAACCCAAGAAAACCCACCAAAATCCATCAAAAACCCACCAAAATCCATCAACACCCAAGAAAACCCACCAGAACTCACCCAAATCCACTAAACCCTATCAAAGTCCACCAAACCCCATCAAAAACCCACCCAAAGCCCCCAAAACCCCATGTTTTTAGGGGTCTTTTTCACTCAACGGATTCCACTTGCCATGGGCCAGGCCATGGAGCACCCAGAGGTGGTGGCAGAGCCTCAAGGCTCCACTGGTGGAGGAACCTTTGTTCCATGGGGGGGGGTTAACCCCTTTTAGAGCAGTTGGGTCCTTCTGGCCTCGGAAAAGGTGGGATCATGGGATCATGGGATCAACCACATTGGGAAAGCCCTTGAAGCTCACCCGGTCCAACCTTTATCCCAGCACTGCCAAGGCCACCCTTAACCCACGGCATTCAGGACCTCAGTTGCATGGGTTGAGAGCACTTCCAACCTGTTCCAATGCCTGAGCATCCTTTGGGGAAGGAATTGTTCCCCATCTCCATCTAAACCAACCTTGAGGCCGTTTGCTCTTATCCCATTCCCTTGGGAGCATCCCAGCCCCGTCCTGGCTCCATCCCTCCTGTAGGGAGCAATCAGGTCCCCAGTGCCCAGCACAAGGGGACCATCCCTGCACTGGTGCTGCTCCAGGCCAGGATGGTGCTGGAATTCTTGGCTCCAAGCTCAAGTTCAGCTCCATCAATCCACACCCACAGCTCCTTTTCCATAAGGAAAACCAGCGCTGCACGGGGCTGGCGTGGCCCAAGTGGCAGGTTTAGGGCTGAACCTCATCCCATAGATCCAGATCCCTATGGAGCATCCCCCCCATTAGTCCCCATTGTACCCCATTGCTCCCCATTATAACCCATTGTCCTGCTGTCTCCCCTGCAGGAGGTGGGGCACAGAGCTCCCCATTGTACCCCGCTGAACCCCACTGTCCCACTTACTGTCTCCCCCTGCAGGAGGTGGAGCGCAGAGCCCCCATTGCTCCCCATTATAACCCATTGTACCCCATTATAACCCATTGTACCCCATTATAACCCATTATAACCCATTGTACCCCATTATAACCCATTGTACCCCATTATAACCCATTGTAACCCCATTATAACCCATTGTAACCCCACTGTACCCCATTATAACCCATTGTACCCCATTATAACCCATTGTAACCCATTGTAACCCATTATAACCCATTATAACCCATTATAACCCCATTGTAACCCATTATAACC